CAACTACACAGCGGCAGAGCCTTAGGGGTGGATGAGATTCGTCCTGGGTATCTCAAGGCTATGGATGTGGTAGGGCTGTCATGGTTAACACGTCTCTGCAACATTGCGTGGTCATCAGGGGCAGTTCCTGTGGAGTGGCAGACCGGGGTGGTGGTCCCCATCTTTAAGAAGGGTGACCTGAGGGTGTGTTCCAACTATAGGGGGATCACACTCCTAAGCCTCCTTGGAAAAGTCTACTCCAAGGTACTGGAGAGGAGGGTCCGATCGATAGTTGAATCTCAGATAGAGGAGGAGCAATGTGGTTTTCGTCCTGGCCGTGGAACTGTGGACCAGCTCTATACCCTTGCAAGGGTGATGGAGGGGGCATGGGAGTTTGCCCAACCAATCCACATGTGCTTTGTGGATTTGGAGAAGGCTTATGACCGTGTCCCCAGGGGCACCCTGTGGGGGACGCTCCAGGAGTATGGGGTGGGTGGCTTACTGTTAAGGACCATTCAGTCCCTTTACCAGAGGAGCGTAAGTTAGGTCCACATAGCCGGTAGTAAGTCGGACCTGTTCCCAGTGAGGGTTGGACTCCGCCAGGGCTGCCCTTTGTCAACGGTTCTGTTCATTACCTTTATGGACAGAATTTCTAGACGCAGCCGTGGTGTGGAGTGTGTCGAGTTTGGTGGCAGGAGAATCTCGTCTCTGCTTTTTGCGGATGATGTGGTCCTCCTAGCTTCATCCAGCTCTGACCTTCAGCTCTTGCTGGGTAGGTTCGCGGCCGAGTTTGAAGCGGCTGGGATGAGGATCAGCACCTCCAAATCTGAGACCATGGTTCTCGACCGGAAAAGGGTGGCTTGCCAACTCCAGGTCGGGAGAGAGGTCCTACCTCAAGTGGAGGAGTTTAAGTATCTCGGGGTTTTGTTCACAAGTGAGGGTAGGAGGGATCGGGAGATCGACAGGCGGATTGGTTCAGCGTCTGCAGTGATGCGGACGCTGAGCCGATCTGTCGTGGTGAAGAGGGAGCTGAGCCAGAAAGCCGGGCTCTCGATTTACCGGTCGATCTACGTCCCAATCCTCACCTATGGTCATGAGTTTTGGGTAATGACCGAAAGAATGAGATCGCGGATACAAGTGGCCGAAATGAGTTTCCTCCGTAGGGTGGCCGGGCTCAGCCTTAGAGATAGGGTGAGGAGCTCGTACATTCGGGACGGACTCGGAGTAGAACCGCTGCGCCTCTGGATCGAAAGGAGCCAGTTGAGGTGGTTTGGGCATCTGGTCAGGATGCCTCCTGGACGCCTCCCCGGGGAGGAGTTTCGGGCATATCCTGCCGGCAGGAGGCTCCCGGGTCGACCCAGGACACGTTGGAGAGGTTACATCTCCAATCTGGTCCGGGAACGCCTTGGGGTCCTGCCGGAGGAGCTGGTGGACAAGGCCGGGGAGAGGACGGCCTGGAGCTCCCTAGTTGGGATGCTGCCCCTGCGACCTGGACCCGGATAAGCGGAGGAAGACGACGACGATTTCAATCAGCACAGTGAATTAACCTGGTTCAGTTGCTGAGCAGAACAAAAACATGACATGGAGATGACTTGATGATGCCACAATGTCACATCTCTGGTATGAACTAAAGTAGAGAATAACTTCTGTTTTAGTTGTGTTGCATTGTAAGTAGAGGAAAGCAGGTGGGATTGTGAAAGACAAAAATCTTTCCACAACTATATTGTCAAAATAACGGTATAGGTAGGTACAATATCATATATGTTTCTAAATATATCGGGATATCGGCAAACCGTAGTTATGATAACTTGACTTGTACACTGGAAAAGTCTTGAAAATGTCCTGAAAATGTCCTGGAAAATAATTTCAAGAAAAGAGTGGGAACCCTGCGTCAACACGGTGCATTCACTAGAAGCTTAAAGGACAAACTCTGGATGTGTGAGGTGAGTTTGTCTCACTGCAGAAATAACAACACACACACACGCAGCCTCTCTCCGTATGTGTGTGTGTGTGTGCACGTGTGTGTGCATGCATGTGCGTGCGTGTGTGTGCATGCATGTGCGTGCGTATGTGTGCGCTCGTGCGTGCGTTTGTGTGTGTGCGTGCGTGTGTGCGTGTGTGTGTGCGCGTGCGCATGTGGTGTGTGTGTGTGCGTGTGTACGCGTGTGTGTGCGCGTGCGCATGTGGTGTGCGTGTGTGTGTGCGTGCGTGTGTATGTGCGCGTGCGCATGTGGTGTGCGTGTGTACGTGTGTGTGTGTGCGTGCGTGTGTGCGTGCGTGCGCGCGCGCGTTTGTGTGCGCGTGTGTGTACGTGTGCGTGTGTGTGTGTGCGCACTCGTTTGTGTGCGTGTGTGTGCGTGCGTGTGTACGTGTGTGTGTGCGTGTGTACGTGTGTGTGCGCGTGTGCGTGTGTGTGTGTGTGCGCACTCGTTTGTGTGCGTGTGTGCGTGTGTGTGCGCGTGCGTGTGTGTGCGCGTGCGCGCGCACTCGTTTGTGTGCGTGTGTGTGCGCGTGCGCACACACTCGTTTGTGTGTGTGTGTGTGCGTGTGCGTGTGTGTGCGCGTGCGCGCACACTCGTTTGTGTGCGTGTGTGTGTGTGCACGTGTGTGTGCATGCATGTGCGTGCGTGTGCATGCATGTGCGTGTGTGTGTGTGCGCACTCGTTTGTGTGCGTGTGTGTGCGTGCGTGTGTGTGTGCGTGCGTGTGTGTGTGTGTGTGCGCACTCGTTTGTGTGCGTGTGTGTGCGTGCGTGTGTACGTGTGTGTACGTGTGCGTGTGTGTGCGTGCGTGTGTGTGTGTGTGTGTGCGCACTCGTTTGTGTGCGTTTGTGTACGCGTGTGTGTACGTGTGCGTGTGTGTGTGTGCGCACTCGTTTGTGTGCGTGTGTGTGCGTGCGTGTGTACGTGTGTGTGTGCATGTGTACGTGTTTGTGCGCGTGTGCGTGTGTGTGTGTGCGCACTCGTTTGTGTGCGTGTGTGCGTGTGTGTGCGCGTGCGTGTGTGTGCGCGTGCGCGCGCACTCGTTTGTGTGCGTGTGTGTGCGCGTGCGAGTGCACACACTCGTTTGTGTGCGTGTGTGCGTGCGTGTGTGTGCGTGTGTGTGTGTGTGCGCGTGCGCGCACACTCGTTTGTGTGCGTGTGTGTGTGCGCGTGCGCGCGCACTCGTTTGTGTGCGTGTGTGTGCGCGTGCGAGTGCACACACTCGTTTGTGTGCGTGTGTGCGTGCGTGTGTGTGCGTGTGCGTGTGTGTGCGCGTGCGCGCACACTCGTTTGTGTGCGTGTGTGTGTGTGCGTGCGTGCGCGCGCGTGTAGGTGTGTGTTGAGAGTTTTAATGTTTAAACCTGTTAGCTTGTTACTGACAGCAGCTACGGTTAAGTTTCACTTCCTGTTGTGACTGAAGCTGCTGCAGCATGGAGGTGTGGCTCTCAGGCATCCTGGACATGATCATCCTGAGAGCTTTAGCTGGAAACAGCTGGACCTTTCTGGATATGTTGGAGACGTTTAGCCTCTCATCCCAGAGGCTGCTTCCAGACTTTGGTTGTGGTCAGAAACAAACACACTGGTTGTGCTGCAAGTCGTCGTCTTTTTTACTTCTAAACATGATTGTGTCTAAATGAAGGTGATGTTGTTGTTCATAGAATTCATCCAGTAGGACCTGTGCTTAGCTGGCTCGTGTAAAACATGCCATGTCTTGAAAGAATCGGAATCGATAGGAACTGGAATCAAAACAAGGAATCGGAATCGCTCTGAATCTAACGATGCCCAACCCTACTCAGAGGTGTCCAGGTCCTGAGCTGGTGGGGTCCTCACAGGATTAACGTTTCACTGTGCGTGTGTGAGCAGATTGATCAAAGAGGCGGGGAAGCAGGACCCGGAGCTGGCCTACATCAACAGTAACTTCATCACCGGCCACAGCATCGGGAAGAACCAGCCGAGGAACAAACAGATGGAGGTGGAGTTCAGGAAACAGGAGGAGGTGAACCATCTCTGTCCGTTGCTGGATCTTATCTTCAGGAGACCACCACAGGGAAACATCTTGGTGCGTTTTTTTCCTTCCTAGGTCCTGAGAAAGTTCCGAGCTCATGAAACCAACCTTCTGATCGCCACCAGCATCGTGGAGGAAGGCGTGGACATCCCAAAGTGCAACCTGGTTGTGCGATTCGACCTTCCCGCAGACTACCGGTCCTATGTCCAGTCCAAAGGCCGAGCCCGTGCCCCTGTCTCCAACTACATCATGCTGGCTGACTCTGAGAGGACCAAGAGCTTTGAGGAGGATCTGACCACCTACAAGGCCATCGAGAAGGTACTTATGGGTTTATGTCGGGTCCAGGCTTTGGGCCGTCTAGCTTCCTCCACATTTTACCAAGGTGTTCGGTGTTACCGGGAGTAAAGACGTAAGCCTCCAGGGGAACTACCAAGCTGCTGGTTTGGACCTTCACTGCTCAGGAGCTGAACAACAAACACAACGTAACACAGAACAAGAACTTTTAGAATACGCAGCTGCAGTAACAGACCAGCTTCAGCTCGCTCCTCTGCTGTTCCTACAGGGCATGCGTCTGCACACATGACCTCATCAGCGTTTCTGCCTCTCCTTTAGAGTCTGCTTCCCACCACAAATACTCCAAACTGCAGAGGTTGGGCTGCTTTCAGACACCAAGTCCGCTGGTGCGCTTTTTGTCTCAGCGCTGTTACGTGATGACATCACGTTCATAAACTTTATGGAACGTCTAAAAGTTGGACAAAACATTTTAAACTCTTCAATAGAACAACCCCATTAAATGTCTTATTTACCCTCGTGTCCTATGTGCACGGTGTCTTCATGACGGCACTGGAGCTGACGCGGTGCTGTTTAACACGACTGTACGATGGTACCGCCCAGGTGAGTCGGGGCCAGAAGACCCACAGACGGCAGGATTTATAGAGATTCACACATTAATGTCAGAACTTTGGTCTAGTTAGGGTCTGGGTCAGACTAGTTCCCCTTAACCCGCCAGATGCTTCAGACAGAGATGGTTCAGTAGGTCCAGAACACAGTAGAGGTCCAATAGCACCAGAACTGCTGCGGCTCGTTCAGTTCTGGACCCGTTCTGAAGTGAACTTCTGATTTTTGAGCAGATCTTGAGGAACAAGTGTTTCAAGTCAGTGGAGGTGGGCGAGTTGGAAGCAGATCAGGCCTTGGATGATGATGACGTCCTTCCTCCATACGTCCTGCAGTCAGAGGACGGAGGTCCACAGGTCACCATCAACACGGCCATCGGACACATCAACAGGTATGATGGTAACTAGCCCGGCCACGCTACCGTTCCCCATGGGGGAGGGGTGTGCCGTTCGTTTAGCTTAGCCTGGCGGGGGACCACGCCTGGCCTGTAAGGCGCTGGGGGAAACCCTGTATGCTGATGACGGTTAGGGTTTCTGACAATGTCCTGCTTTGCTTGGTGAGTAAAATGTACACGTCTTAGATTTGTCACGGCCCAAAGCTTGGCTAGAGCCGGATCTGTCCTCCAAAACACACATCCCACCAGTCGTAAGCAAGATCAACTTTAGCTTAAAACCTAATGCCAAATTTGGCCCGCAAGATCAAATCTATATTAAAACTGGTGCGCCTGCCCTAAGACTACAGATCCCATAGTGCTTTGTGGCGTTGGCGCGTCAGCGGGTCCATACGGACCAGACCCTCTTCCCCTCTGCAGCTGGACTCATGAATGACCATCCTAGGGCTGTCCACTCCAGTCGCTTGGTTTCAGTCACATGACCCTGTGTTGTGTTTGTACCTGAACCCAACCCTACACTGTCTTGTATTTAGTAGCCGCTTCTCTAATTATGGCCACCATATATTATTATTCTATCATAGTTCTATTCATACTTCCCATCTAAACACGCTCCAGCGCTGGCCCGCTAGCCAGTGGCTACAGCAGTGTGGTTTACTTCATCTCCACAACACTTCACTAACAGCGATGTGGTTCTCCACGCGTGACTGAGCTGCTCCGACTCGCACGGTTTCTTCTCAAACGTCACCTTTAGACTTGGGTGTCCTTTTGCTGGGAGTCTCCCCCGCTCTAGCTGTGGCTAACAAGCAGCTTTTGATGCGCATCTCCACCACGCCAGCCGTGAGCCACAATTAGCCGGTGTCTAGGTCAGCATTGTTTACTTGATGTCCACTGCGTGTCCCCGGCTCACCAGCCCTCCTTCACCAGCCGTGGCTAACGAGCAGCCAGTGATCGCTCCACATCCATTAGCTGGTAGCGGCAACTCGCTTGTTTACATCAAGCGCACCACGATCCACGTGAAACGGGTGTTGTGGGAAATGATGTTTTCCTGAAATATTAGGCAGTCAAGAGCAAATATTTCCATTTTCACAGAACTCATTGTCCGTTCTGAGGACGAAACAACCCAAAGGAAAAGATGTTGAACTAAGTGAGATGACATCATTACAGGAATGTTTTTACTGTTTCCTTTTTATTGTTTTAGGAGGACATATAGATGAAAGATCACAAGCATGACATTATTACATCGTTTTACCGTAAAAGTTTATCACAAATGTTGTGAAAGTAGCCTGAAGAGCGACTTCCCACACGGGGGACAAAATATTTCAGGGGAACACAATTTCTCTCAAAACCCAACCTGATGTCACCCCTCCTCCGTGTGTGAATGGTGACATCTTCAAGGGCTAGCAGAACTAGCTTGCTTCCATCTGGACTAGTAGGTTTATAATCAGTCATTAAAACAGCTTTTTAAGTGGTTGAGTAGCTTGTTTTGAGCTTTGTGTGGGTTAGGCTAGACTGGACAGTGATTATACGATCAAACTCCAGAGTGAGCCACAGCAGCTGCAATACTTTCTCTGAACTGCATGGCGCTAGAGAGTCCTTAAACGAGCCTTTTAAAAGATTTAAAACCAACAGAATTTGTAGTCCGGCTCTGCAATGGTAAGCTGCTCCACAGTGTCGGCGCGGCTATAGAAACGCTCTATCCCCCTAGCCTTGATGGTAGATCTCTCAGGAGATGTTTAGTTGAGGATCTCAAGGCCCACGAGGAAGCGTGGGCAATAAGAAGCTCAGCCAAATAAGAAGGCGCCAAACCGCGTAAGGCTTTAACATAACAACAAAATTCAAAATTTTCTTCTGTATTCTGCAGGGAGCCAGTGGAGGGCCGACAGGACCGGAGTAATATGCTCTCTGCGTTTCCTCCCTGACAACAGACCAGCAGCTGTGTTCGGTGCAATCTGTAGGCGACGGACGGAAGACTCGTCAACACCATAATAGTTGCTGTAGTCTAATCTAGATATGATGAGCTAATGAATAACTCCCTCCAACTCTTTCTTTGGCAAGTAGGCTTTAACCTTGCTAAGCAGTTTCAGATGAAAACTGGAGCAGCTGTTGAGGATAAAACCCGATTTCTTGTGTACGAGACTCAAAAACATTCCAAAGGCCCAAACTGACTTCTCACATCATGCAGCGAGCTGGGATCTCCGAAAACAACTAGTTCTGTCTTGTTTTCATGTAAGTTTAGCAGGTTGTTTTGCAGCCATATCTTAATGTTCCCAAGGCTCAATAGCAGTTTATCAAAGGGTGGGCCTTGGGAGCTCAAAGGGACGCAGATTTGTATGTCATCTGCAAAAAGTGGTTCGAGATGGAGTGTTTTGGGAAAATGTCACCAAGGGGCAGCGTATACAAAGAAAACAAAAGAGGAGCCACCTCAGCTGGCTCCTCTCAACGTGGAGGAGCAGCGGGTCTACTCTGAGCCCCTCCTGGATGACCCAGCTTCTCACCCTGTCTCTAAGGCTACGTTCACACTGCAGGCAAAGTGCAGCGAATCCGCTTTTTCCCCACACCCGACCCATTTCTGGTTTTTATGACAGTCTGAACGCACAGTTCCGATTTATTTTTTATTATGCAATCCGGGTCACTTGAATATGTGGTACTAAGTCCGACACATGTCTAACCCTAACCCTGTCACATTAAATCCGTCTCCTACGCCACTGAGTCAGCAGAGGTGAGCGTCATGTGTGGACGTTCCTGAGGAGAAGCGCTGACGGGAGGGTTCAGGAGTCTGTCTGGACTTCCTGTTTTAGGGTTAGCAGTAAAAAGTACAGGAGAGCAGGAGAACGGGAGCTGCAGGTGCTCCGTCTCCGTGAAGAAAGGGGCGGTGTCGCCGTGAGAGGGGCGTTCTCCGTCAGTGAACTAACGCAGGAACGTTTCTGATGAATAATAATTCAGGGAGGCGGCGGGAACGAGGAGTAAAGTAGTTTACAGTTTTGGGTCGGAAAAAGTTTTAAAAACGGAAGAATGAACAGGTGTGAAAGTTTACTCTGATGGTTATCTCCGGGATCAGGATCACATCACAACGCCGCCGCTCCGGGTTTCGGCTCCACTGAGTGTGACTTGCTGTCTTCTGCGCATGCGGGTCGCTTTGGGCCGCGGAGCGTTCTCACTGGAGAGAGTTTGATGTTGCGTTTCAGTCGCCGTGTGAACGGCCACACAAGTAGATCAGAACTGGGCCTCCAGGCCTGCAGTGTGGACCCAGCCCTTGTTTTCATCCTTTGAAGTTTTATTCATGAATAAATGAGCAGGTCGGTCAGAGTCCAGTAGAACAGGAACGTTGCTTTATTTTAACTGGTTTTATTCGGTTCTCAGGTACTGTGCTCGACTGCCGAGCGACCCATTCACTCACCTGGCGCCCAAATGTAAAACCATGGAAACCAAGGACCGAAGCTTCCAGTCCACTCTCTACTTACCCATCAACTCTCCTCTGAGAGTTCCTGTTAAGGTCCAGAACCTCCAGACTACCTCGGTCCAGTCTGCTTCCTGTGTTTGTTCTTCACTCTTCAACATGTGTCTCTGTGTTCAGGGTCCCATCATGGTCTGCTCCCGCCTGGCAGAGAAAGCTGTGGCGCTTGTCTGCTGTGAGAAGCTTCATAAAATAGGTACCAAGTTCTGACAGGTGGCCCCACTCGGCTTTCTGCCGCATGTGTAATTTCTGGTCTTCCCCGGTCACAGGTGAGCTGGATGATCACCTGATGCCTGTAGGAAAGGAAACCGTAAAGTATGAAGAGGAGCTGGACCTGCACGATGAGGAGGAGACGAGCGTCCCGGGTCGGCCTGGGTCCACTAAGAGACGACAGTGCTACCCTAAAGCCGTAGGTTCTGCTGGGGTCTTTGGGCTCACACCTGGCTGGTGGTCACCATGGCGACTGCCAGGAACTAAAGCCTAGATCATAAGTTCATCACAAGCAGCAGATCACGTTCACCTGGGTCAGCTGAGTTAAAGTGGTGAAAGCAAACATGGCGGTACTCTCGGTACTCTGCTAGATGGCCGTCCCTGAGGTGACATGGCAGAAGGGTTCGTGAGACGGTTTTATTGTCTTTTGCATTTTAATGAGAAGCATTAGCAGAATCGAAGCCCGCCTTTCCACTGGAGGCCTAAGCGGCGCGTAACGTAGACGCGCTTTAACCAGGAGCGTTTCAGGAGGTCCCTACTACTTGTAATTATTTCATTATTGTTGTTGTTAGTTTGCCCTAATCACCAGTATTCATGAAAAGGTCAGAGCCGATGGAGGTCGTCCTCTGGTAGAATGAGGTCTCACCCTTCTGTCTTCAGATACCGGAGTGTCTGCGGGACAGTTACACCATCCTGGAGCAGACCTACTTCCTGTACGTGGTTGGGATGGTCCTCACCACTCCTCTCCCTGATGAACTCAATTTTCGCAGAAGGAAGCTGTACCCGCCTGAGGACACCACCCGCTGCTTCGGCATCCTGACGGCCAAACCCATACCTCGTGTAGGTGTCCATCTCTTGGCTCCAACAGAATCACTCTCTTTGGGTCTAAGTGGGGCTGGGCGATCAATCCATTCTATCCATTAACCCATTCACTGCCAGTGTGGGCGTCGGACGAGCCCCCGCGCCGTGTGAACAAACATCCCAGCTCTGAAGCCGATCTCCATCCGCATACGACACACGTCACCTGATCAGGAAGCAACGTTCTGTGGCTCTTACAGAAAACAGGGAAAACGCTGGCAGCGGAGGGCTTTCTGACAGGAAACAGCTGGCAGTGAATGAGTTAATGTAAGTTTTTTCCACTCCTGGGCTTCTGTTGCTGAAAGTAGTCGGCCCACACGTCTCTCCTAACGCATACCAAACGGCCTGCATGAATGTTCCCACTAAAGTATGCCTGGAAGCTGCAATCCAGAGTAGTAGTTGTCCAGTAGCACCACCTAGAGGCGGACAAATGCATTGCACCTGGTCGTTCTTCTGTATTGACGGCCGACAGCAACGCTTCCCGTTCACGAGCTTGCACCACTAGCTGTGCAACAGAGCTATTTAGTATTGTTATTGTTGTATTGTTTATTCTCACGTTTATGTTCGTAAGACTTGCAGTCGCCAACCCCGCTTCAGGCTAGGTACACCCTCAAACCGCTCTCTGTACGCGGGTGGCTATTGGCTAATGCTGAATGGGGGTCAACTGGATTAGCATGGGGTGCTGGGGGACGGGGGTGGGCTTATTGCCTCGTCACAGTGCGCGGTAAAACCCTACATAATTGCTGAAGGTGTGAAGTCTCCGGGTTGCAGCTTTAATGTTGAGATTTTAGCAGAAAGAAGCAGAAGCGACTAAATCTTTGACTGCTGTGTTTTTACTCATCCTGCCGTTACACCTTCATGTTCATGCGTTCACTCTAAAGCCCATTACTGCTGGATAGCTAGCTCCACTGCTAGCTGTTAGCTTCCTCAGCAGCTTTGCTACATCGTACCGGAGGAGCTTTTCTCTGAATCATATCAGAGGAGCCTCCTGTATGGGGTTAGACCCGTGCCTAAACCCGTGCACGCGACGGGTTTAGGCACGGGTCTAACCCCATACTCCTGGTCAACCTGGCCATGAAGCAGCTAGTTCAGGTTTGGCAGCTAAAGCTACTGAACAGCTTAATTCAATACAACAGAAAACTAGCATTAGCACCTTAGCACTACAATCAGCTTGGCTAATCAAAACATTAGCAAACTGTAAAAACACGGTATATGACAGGCATCCTGACTGTGTCTGACTTGTAACGTTGCAGGTGGGTTAGCGTAGCTCCATTCCAAGCTTTAGCCAGACCCGGGTTCCGCTCCGAACCCAGCAGATGTTCATACTCGGAGAAAAGCCGTGATTATGTCGGTACTGTTTTCCGTTTGGTTAATATCGGATCCTTCATGCATACAAGTAGAGACGGGTAAACAGACTGAAGCTGAAAGCACGTCTCCGTGCTGACCAGCGTCTGCTTGCGTCTGACTGAAGGAATGGAAATATTCAGTGAAAGACTTCGTGTGGCTCAGACCAAACGGCTATAATAAACCGTTTCAGTCTGAAGTCCCCAGGATGATGACCTCACAGGTCCTCTTACGTGTGTGCAGATCCCTCACTTCCCAGTGTACACCCGTTCAGGTGAGGTGACCATCTCCATCGAGTTACAGAAAAGTGGCTTCATGCTCAGCGCTGCCCAGCTGGACCTCATCACACGCATGCATCAGTACATCTTCTCACACATCCTCCGCTTGGAGAAACCTGCCCTGGAGTTCAAGCCCACGCAGGCTGACTCGGCGTACTGCGTTCTACCTTTGAACGTTGGTAAGTGGCTTGACCTCTGCTCCTCCTCCTCCTGCTCAGCAGTCAGCATGTGTCATTCCCTGTTTGCTGCTTCAGTTGGAGACTCCCACACTCTGGATATGGACTTTAAGTTCATGGAAGACATAGAGCAGTCTGAGGCCCGCACAGGCATTCCCACCACTAAGTACACCAAGCAGAATCCTTTCATCTTCAAGCTGGAGGACTACCAGGATGCTGTCATCATTCCAAGGTACTGTGATCTTCCTGCGGGGCTCGTGTTTTTGACCAGGTCTCTTACTGCTCCTCTTCCACCTCAGGTACCGTAACTTTGACCAGCCTCATCGTTTCTACGTTGCTGACGTGTATACAGACCTGACACCACTCAGCAAGTTTCCCTCACCAGAGTATGAGACGTTCGCTGAGTACTACAAAACAAAGTATAACCTGGACCTGTCCAACCTGAACCAGCCTCTTCTGGACGTGGACCACACGTCCTCCAGGTGAGCAGCACTTAAATCCAGCCGGCGGTTCAGTCTGGAGGTCAGATCTTTTGTCCTGGACGTTGTGAGGTGTACTCTTGGTGCGTTGGACGTAATTGTCCAGAACATCCCATGAAGTTGGAATGAGACGAAGACTCAGAATTGCCAGGTCTCTGGGAGAGGGAAGTCTGGACCTCCCTGCTTAGGCTGCTGCCCCCGCGACCCGACTGAATAAGCAGATGAGGATGAATGGATGAATAACCTTTTTAAAGAGCCGTTATTAGTACCCATTCTCCACAGTAAACACTGGGACTCGCCGCCGCGTTGTGGGCGGGGCCTGCCGGGCCTGGGCGGAACGTGTTTGAACTGTTCAGAACAAATTCAGGCTCTGTCTGGTAAACAGAACGCAAGTTTCATTCAACGATGTTGAGAAGGATCCCGTCAGTCTGGTCTCATCCGTCATGCACAGCGACGCCGTGCACACTAACCGCACGTGTAATGCTTCTCTGTGCAACAACCCTGCACGAGTACATCAGCGCAGCTCGCTGTCAGCCACGCAGGAAGGTTCCTCCCACTGAAGCGAGTCCCCGTCTCCGAGAGCCGCGGGTTGCCGACCCTGGTTCAGTCGTTCACAACCATCACCTTTTTTCTGAACCCGCTAGCTTAGCATTAGCTTAGCATTAGCAGTTCTGCTTGCAGTTTAGCTGCTGAGCCCAAACTTTGGAGCGTTCCTGCCTTTGACTACAGGTGGTTTCCTCAGTGCTCCGGAGAAACGGTGGAGCGCGTTTACCGAAGCTTCCGATCAGTAAAGAATGAATGTAGGACTTTAATGAATCAAACCGTCTGAATCATTGGTTTCAGTCACATACATGTCAGTACAATCCGTTTGTGTGACCGCAGAGCCTCCTACTCAACCCAGAACTCTTGGATGCTAGACAAGACGTCTGAAAATCCAGATGTTTTCAACAGATTCTTCTTCTTTGGCTTCTTCCAGTCCCGCGTGGACGTGGATGCCCAACCCTAGCTCCCATTAGGTGTTTCTATAACCGGATCTCCAGGGTAATTCCTGGGATTGGGAAATGGACCAGGACACGGGATGTCCCAGACCTCTCAGCTGTTTCCCCTCCATCAGCGCTTAGCACAGACATCAGCGTAGCGCTGCTGCTTTGGCAGTGAGTGATGTCACTGGTCAGCGTTCCCAGTGACACTGTTGAAGTAAATGATGATGTAATCCATTCAGAGGACCAGAGCAGCTGTGTATCTGAAATGTGGTGTTCAATGACCAGAAGGAGCGGCGTTTTTTACAGCGCTCTGTGAGACAACAAAGCCCCGTTGTTAGGTCTGTGGGGGAATTTCGTCGTGCTTCCGGTGTCGGAGTTACATTCTGCTTCACCAGCAACGCGTCTAACTTTACTAATGCTGGCTGTTGAGGACGTCTTCTGCAGCAGCAGAAGTTCAGCCTCCAGGTGGGACACCACAGTAGGACGTGGCTTAGGGTCATAGTGTAGAATAACATCAGGTTGCATGCAGCAAGCAAAAAGCCAGATGATGCAACAATGACAAGCAGCCTTTAAACTGTTTAGAACCAGTCGTGAGAAGAGTTGTGAAGGTGGAGAGGTCAGCAGGTGTGGAGGGGCTGTAGGAGGGTGGGGGCAGCAGTGGAGAAAGCTGTCTCCCCAGGTTCAGAGCTTGGTCATAGGTGGGGAGGGAGAGGGATGAGGCACGGTGGTGAAGGTCAGAGAGGTAGGAGGGGCCAGGTTATGGAGGACGCTCTGAGTGAGGAAGCCAGTGGAGGCGGGGTTAGGAGATGCTGGATGTGTGGAAGGTTGGTGCGGGATTAGGACGGGACACCAAATACTATTGTGTTAGTGGATTTGGGATGAATGCATGAATAAGAGTTTCAGGGGCAGAAAAATAAAGGCAAGGACAACGACTTACATAAAAACAGTCCAGTCACCTGACAGAAACAGGTATTCAGACTTAAGCCCCTCCCCCACCAATGCACACCTGCTGAGCCTCTGTCCCGGGGCCTTTCAGCTGGTGAAGGTGGCCCTGGCTGAAGCAGGGGACACAAACTCACCATGGCCATGCTCTCTGTGGTTAGAGGTCCTCCATGCTATCCGAGGCTGCTGCGGTGGCTTTCAGTCGTCGTTTCAAAAGCAAACAGCTGCTGATGTCTTGTGTGTACCCTACAAACCCACCGCTCTTTCCCAGCCTGGGGTACGCACACCCCTGGTGGTACGTGAGCACATTATGTGTGAGTTCCTGCGTCTGCTGGGAGGAGCAGTCTGACCTGGCTGTTTATGGTGGGCGCTGTGGTTTCCTTCTGAGAGTCCAGTTTGGTGCTGACCACAGACCCAGCTTCACCCACACCTACGTCTGGCTGGGTGTGTGCTCCAAGGTGGCAGAGGAAGAGCTTCTCCAGAGTCTTCATCAGGTACGATGTCTGAACTCGCGTGGCTGCCTGGCCCGGTACTTTTTTCTGGACCTGGACCGTGTCTGGAATCCCATCTATTTCTGAAGGCTGTCACCTGGGTCAAAGGTCACGCTACCGTGATGGTTTGTTATTGTTTGGCTCATGTCGTCTGGTGTTATTTTCCTCAGACTGAACCTGCTGACCCCCCGACACCTGAACCAGAAGGGGAAAGCTCTGCCTTTGAGCAGCGCGGAGAAGAGGAAGGCTAAGTGGGAGAGCCTGCAGAACAAACAGGTAAGAGGTGAAAGCAGCTGATGTCCTGGGTCACAGGTGTCAAACTCAGGCCCTTGAGATCAAATATATATTAAAACTGGCCCGTCGGCCCATTTTGCTGCAAAGACTACAACTCCCATGGTGCTTTGCAGCGTTGGCACGTCTGTCGAAGCGCCCGCTGCTTAGAGTTAACATTCATTAGCATCCACGCTACTACTCAACGTCTGCAGTGATGCCTCCTCAGTCTCGGACAAACGCAACACTCTCACTCAGCAGTTAGCCGACTTTGAAGACCAGACATGGATTTTAAGCGCTCAGTAATCTGTTCTCGGCTGACAGAGGAAGCACACCGACCGACACCGAGACGATTTAACTCCCGTTTAGCAGCACGCTCCAGTCAGTAGGACTCTCCTCCCCCACACACGGACCACCGCTCAGATGCTCTCCATGTTCAGCAGCACTCATCTATGTGAGCAGCTGCTGTCTGTAATGAAGATGAGCAGGACACCTCAGCTCAGAGCCCACAGGTGCAGGTGTCTGGCTGGAACAGGTGAGCATCAGAGTGGAGCAAACTGAGATGGGAATATTGTGGTTTTTATGCACTTTTTCTGCTCCAAAGCATGAAAGGTCAAAGGTGAGGTGTTGCATTTTCATTTAAGAGAGTTACTATTTTTAAAACGTTTGTATTGGTCTGTGAAAAACGTTTCACCTTCTTTAAAACAGGAAGTGGGAAGACTACAGATAGAATAGAATAGAAACCCCCTTTATTGTGTCAGTGGGGAAAGCTTGGTGTCGCAGCAGCAATCACATTCATTACCGGAGCAGAAAAGGAGAGTAAAACATGAGAACGGAGTAAACAAGAAAACAGAAATACCCAAAGATTCTAAATATTTAAGGACTCAAAAAGAATGAAAACATTGAGACATGATGCACCCATGTGCTTTATGTCTAACCGATGTGTAAGGATGGTATTCCACATTCAAAGACAAGTTAGTTCCAGATCCGTACAGATGTGGAGATCAAGGAAGATGGGCACATTTCGAGTTTGGCCTCGCGACAGGGTGAGTTAGTTTGACACCCCGTCCTAGGTCATGTGTCTTATGCCACAAATCCATCAGGACCCACTTGAGCAACTGGGGGACACAAAAACACAGCACAGTACAGCAGGACTTACTTGGTAGAGACAGATTCAGGGGTGAGGCAGACTCCGCCCCCTAGGAACATCAGTGACAACAAGCATCAATTACACTTGGACAAAGGGGCGAGGACCCGGTACCGGTGGAAAGCCAGATGAACTGCATCAAATGATTCTGAGTGGCACCGTGTAGGGCTGATGGAACGGTGGCTCTAGTGTCTCTCTGTGCTGTGGTCTCAGATCCTGGTTCCGGAGTTGTGTGCCATCCACCCCATTCCTGCCTCTTTGTGGAGGAAAGCTGTGTGTCTGCCCAGCATCCTGTACCGCCTCCACTGCCTGCTGACAGCCGAGGAGCTGCGGGCCCAGACGGCTTCTGAGGCTGGGGTGGGGGCCCACACCCTCCCCCCAAACTTCAGGTAACAAGTCCCCCCCCCCCCCCCTCTAATGAATCAGACTCAAAAAGCTTTATTGTCACATAGAGCTGAGGAAAATAATCAAATAATCGATGCATC